GTAATATAATGACTGTAAGCATTAAAGGATAAATTTCTAAGCTGTCAAACAAGTTTTTATAGGATATATTAAAAAGATATCAACCTAGTTTATTAAATAGAAACTGCTAACTGTGGTCTAAAGCAAAAACAACAATACAGCCAGACACTTGCCTGGGACTCGAATTCCGATTGCATTAAAAAACATATTCGTAGATTATCCAAATATTCATAATTTTCTCGCTGCAAGACTTAGCCAAAGTGGCGACGGATAATGCTCTTAAAATGTGCGATGTTCATTTATATTTGCGGCAAGGACAACTTGAATAGTCCTTTCAAATGCGCTTTCAGCTCTATTTCAATTTACTTCATTCATAATCCCGACGCCAGGCGAGGCTGCCAGCTCGTAAAATGTGCCCCACTGTGCTGAGCTGTGTGCAGCTCTCAGCTGGATGATTCCATCTGTGGGCAGCATCAACAATTGCGTAATATTTGTGGGGAGGCACGTGCTTGCCCAGACTCAGACACAAGCACAAAGAAGCCATGTGGAAGAGCAAAAGTGAAACCGACTCATGTGAAGGAGCAAACTCTTCGCATGATTTGTGTTGGCCCCAATCCCTGACCCATGCCCACATATCCGCAACCATACCGAGCACACTCTTGCCACAAAACTTATTGCATTTGTCCAAAATGTAAGCGAATTTGGGAGCGACGCCTCCATTTGGGCCACCGAAATGGTTGTAAAGTCGCTGGCGAAATCATATTTCAAATTTAATGGATTAGCAGCCGATGCCAGCGAGAACTGAAAATTCCATACCCGGAATATCTTCATGCCCCAATGAGTTATAGTGTATCAAGCGCGTTCATATATCAACTAATATAACAGCTCCAGCACGTGCTCGACGTATTTTATGGAATGTATTTTAGTGAACGAAATGAAATGGAGCCTTTAAATATAATGAGAGTTTCGTTTTTATAGATATGCAATTAATATGGCTATTAAAATGCAATACATAATCATTTAATGTTTACTTTGGTAATTGGTTTATTGTTCGGACTTTTCTATTATCTTATTGATTTTCGTGTTTAAACATATTTCGGGCTATATTTATTTTATATTTTATGCTGAGCAAGTTTCACTAAGCACCAGTTTGAACTGATTTGAATGATTCACTCTTTATACTCGCTATTTGTTTGCCCACAAAGTATATTTAAGCTTTTTATCAACATTTTTACGTTCACGATATATATATGCAGTTATCAAATAATTTTCGTTATGATTATTGGGCTAACATTTATAATATCTGGCCCATTCAAAGTTACTTAGCAGTTAAATGTTCAAATCAAACTGATGAAATCAAATTAGTCGGGCGGGCGAAAGGCTTATCGCCAACCATTCTCAAATAGCCTAACAGTGGGAAAACGAGCTAATTTTGACTAGAAAAAAAGATAACTAGCGAATATTAATTTTTTTTCTGGCTAATTTTGATGATAGAACTTTTTAATTAAGAAATATTCTAACTTAATCGCATTTTAATTAAAAACTTGAAAATCGCAAATCAGCTTACTTGATATTTTCGACATAAATAAAAGTTGAAGTGATCTGTATATACTATATAAACTAACTACTTTTCAAATTTGCCGACTCTAGCTCTTCATACGTTAGAGATATGCTCAAGAAACAGAATATTGATATCGATTCTTATCGATTTCTTGGAAACAGAAAGCATTGCAAATTATCGAAACCAAGCTCGTACTGAGCGGTTCCCGGGATGAACTAAGTTCCAGCTCTTATAAGTTTTAGACCGACGAGATTACGGACAGGCTTGATGATGACAGAGCCTATATTATTTATGGGCTATACCATATGCATAAATATACCAAACCCTTTATTCATTTTAAACATATTTAACATTTGACAAATAAATAGGACAAGATTTTCATAGGTTTATTTTTCCTCAAATGGTTGCATATATAGCCCATTATACTGAGCTTGAAAGCATTTTGTGAATTTGTCAGCAGAACAGAAGACGACTAAAAAGCTGTCATCAATCGAAGGCACGCACAGGCCCGATAGCCACAAATTGTCTGTCGTCTCTTTTTTGGGGGGCCAGCCAATGGGGCAACTGTTGCGCCCCCATAATTTGTCTGGGTGTGGCCCAAGTCAAACTGAGGCGAAAACCTAGCCGAAAACCGGAACAGTTTATAGAAGTTGAAGACAAATAGGTGTGAATGATTTTTAAAGGAACATTGAAATATTAAAGATAACACACAACAGTTTGTCAGTCACTCAAGCATAAAAAAAAACAAGACTAATCTAAAAAAAAACTCAGGAGTGGCCAATTTTGGTTGAATATGTGCAATTTATTGAATCTGAATATACTATATAAGAACCTTCATATCAAGTTTGGTGTATCTAACTCTGATTACTTTCGAGCTATGCTTAAAAACGTATTTCATTTTTATCATTTATTATTATTGCGTGATTCCATTCGAGTCATATTGTTGGTATTTTGACGGAACGGAATGCTAACTTTCGCCTTATCAATTAACCCCGGAAATCTGCTGCAAGGGCAAGAAAAAGTTTTATTTTACAGCTGACGATCAAATTAGGGATTTCGTCGCCTTCACTAATGCGTCTATAACACGTTATCCAAAGCTGATTTTTATGATTTTTATAGAGACAATCAGCTATCTGTGTAAGCTGCCATATATTTATTCAGGTTGATAACAAATAGTTTAGCAAAATTTGACGTCTAAGGGGTACATACTGATATTAATATATAAAGTTCCACTTTTAAGGAAAGTCATTAAATGAAATTGAATACTGACGAGAATGAACAAAACAATTATCAGTTGATTATTATACCCTAAACCAATTGAAAAGAATCAATTGCAGAGAGTATAACAGTTTTGTGGAAATGTATGTAACAGGCTGAGAGAAGCATCGCCTGGTCGACATCAATAGCCAAGTAGATCTAGCCATGTCCGTCCGTTTGTCCGTCTGTCCGTTTCTCCATCTGTCCGTCCGTATATATAAACATGTCGATCTCTGAACCTATAACAGCTAGAGACTCAAAGTTTTGAACGGAGATCCTAGTGCCCGCACAAGTTTGTTTTCGACAATCGATAACTTGCCCTGTTTCCAAGAAATCGATAATTATCAATGTCGAAAATCTGTTTCTAGAGTATTTGTCTTAGGTTTAATGAGCTAGAGTCACCAAATTTGATGAAGTGATGGAAGAGGGAAGTCACATTTTTCTTTTAATTTGTTTTTAATAATGCTAGTATATCTCTTTGGCCATTAAATGGGTTACAGTAAAAGGGAAAGCTGCACTTGGTGTTTGTGGAAGAGGCTTCAGGGTAATCCCCAGTCAGAGACTATCGTCTGGAGCACTCTTCATTGTTTATTTATTACAAAGCTGAGAACTCATTAAAAAAACACAGAGTACTTTGGCGAATCGTATGTCTAAAAGAGACGAATAGCAAGGCGACTTTTGCCAATATGTGATAAGAATGTTGTATATTATTATTTACATAAGCAGCGCTGTTACTATATAACTAACTATATAGAGATATAAGTATAGAGACTTGTTCGCTTAACCCATTAGCATTTGTTTTCTATAGGACGGTTGCGGTTGGGTTTAGTTTTCATGCATGTGTAAAGTATTGTTCTTTCTGATAACAATAAATTTATCATGTGTTAAGGCTTCGTTTGACTTCCATTTGTGTTGTTGTTCTTTTGTTATTGTTGTTGTTGGTTGTGATGTCGTGCGCCACAGAGTCTTGCTGTTTGTATTCTATTCATGTTCTGCATGAACAGCATAAATAGCGTTTTATATATATATATACCATATCCATACACTTATATATTGTAGATATACGAGTGTGCATGTATAATAGAGCGGAAGTTTCGATCTACATGTGGTTATACTCGTACACTATGTACATCATATCGCAACCGACTCATGTTGTGGCAAGTTTGAAATACAAAAGAGTGAAATTTCAAACTAGTAAAGATTATTTGATGAGGCTTTGGTGGTCAGAAACCTAAGCTTTAAATTCGGTAATAGGGTTCCTAACAAATTATTACATAATGCGCATAATAAATGTTTAATTTGATGATTCATTTTATTCTATTTTCTTGTAGCTTATTATTTAATATATTTCAAAGTCGTACGGATTTAAAATATTCTATAGCTTTAACAGAAAATATCGGAAAGAATAATAGCTATTTTTAAAACATTCTATATTTAAAGAATAAACTTCTTTTCTAAAACCAACTGGAGCCTAGATATAGCTTCCATTTAAATTTATGTGTATGTTAAGGCTTATAATATTTGGCAATCCCTAGAGAACAAATTGCTCTTATAGTTTTCATTGCCTCGAGTTTTGAAGGCCCTATTATGTACGGTATTTAATGGTATTGTGCAAATGGTAAAGTCTCTGATCTATTAAGTATATATGTATGTTCTTGATCAGCTTCAACAGACGAGTTGATCTCGGTAACTCGAAGAGCTCGATACTAGACATTGTGACCTCACAGATCAGTTTTTTCTTTTTTTTTTCAAATAATAAAATGTTAAAAACAAATTATTTTTTGCAATCTTTAAGCAGTTCAAGCTGATCTTTGACATGCGTTTTTTTTTGTTCCCGACCTACTGCATATCAGTTATCAGTTTGAGCAATTTTGGAAGCCCGAGCTTCGATGCGATTTTTACATTTCAGTCTACTTTCGTACGTACTAAGTTCAGTTGAGTTTGGCATATGAATTCCATAATCAGAGTGCAAGCAAAATGAAATTGGCTGTGTTTCTATTATATATGCTATATATAAGCTTTATGCTGGTCATAGATGAAGCGCAGGCTAACGAAAATGAGGTGAAATTAAATATTTATTTGAACTGCAGTAATCAAATCCTACTTTTTTAATTAGTCTTGTTCGGCAACCAGAAAAGCAGAGGAGGAGTGCGGAGAGTACACCTACAAAGCAGTGAGACCATTGTTAAAGTATATACATCAGATGAAGGAGGCAATTGACAACAATAACAATATTATTGAAAGCAAAGACAGAGAAATTAAACAACTGCAGGAAAAACTAAACCAACGTAATGAATTCGTCATCGAGCAACAAACAGCTCAGCTAGATATCTACAATAAGGCAATCAAAGAGCTTAACAGCAATGTGTTATCGATAAAAGAAGAAATGGGTAAACTCAAGACTAATGATTGTGAAAATCAGTTGGCGGAACAAAGGAAATCAATTGATCAAAAGGACCAACAAATATTCAAAATCGATAACGAAAACAACATGTGCACCAAGAAATTAACAAGCTGCGAAGAGAAGCCCGATTGCAGCAGTTTTACTTACATCGCAGGTGATCCGGATGTACTTTATGATAATGCGACAGCAGGTCCTGGCTGGATTGTTATCCAACAGCGAATCAATGGCAAAGAGGACTTCTATAGGAATTGGGCCACATACCGTGCCGGCTTTGGAAGCTTTGAAGGCGACTACTTCTTAGGGCTTGAGAGGATTCATCGCTTGACGAGCGCCCAACCCCATGAGCTCTACATACATATGGAAGGATTCGATGATAACATCACATACTACAGATATGAACAATTTGCCATCGCTGGAGAGAACGCTCAATACAGACTGAACCTCTGTGGTAAGGCTGGGGGCAATGCGACCTATAATGAGCTATATTACCACAACAATTGGCAATTCAGCACATACGATCACAATAATTGTAACTGTGGCCTCAACTGCGCGCATTCAGACGTACGTCGTGGTGGCTGGTGGCACAACAGCGCTTGTGAGAACAGGTATAAGTTGCTTCCACATTGTCAAAACAATTTAATTATAAATACTTTCTTTTTCAGCAATTTAAATGGCAAATTCTCTGATGTGGGCGCGGCGAGTGGCATGTATTGGGATCCTTACAAATCATTGAAAAAAGTCAAAATGCTTATTAGGCCCAAAAACTATGCAAAATGAAATTAAATAAAAAATATATAATAAAGCCTGAGGACTCAACCAGGCTTTATTATACAACCTATAAAAACTTTATAAAAAAAAAAACATTTATATATATATATAGATATAGATTGTGTGTGATGAGATAATCGGTTTTTATTGCCAAATCAGAATTTTCCATTTCCTTTGGCAAATGCAGCTGGCAATATCATCCCTTTCCCCTCCCCGCACTCATTCAGCAAGGGTCGAAAAGTGAAAAATTGTTGAAATTGCCAATCGAATTAGAAATGTAGAAACAAAACAGAGACAGAGAAAGCGAGAGAACAATCAGATATAACATTGTGAGAAGTTGCAATGCAGGCAAAATTCGCCTAAAGTCTCTGGCGCAACGCGTTCAAGTCGCCTGAAACTTTGGCTCGGGGACCGAAATAGGGGCAAACACAGAGAGACGGAGACCCACTTGTCAAGCCAACAGGAGCAAGTGGCAACCGCATTCGAGCAGAGTCCTTGAGCTCGCCATGGGCGGGCGGTGAGGGGGGCAGCTGCGGCACTGGCCGCTGATGACACAAGGAAGTTGGCAGCCAGCGAGTCAAGTGATTCAGCGGCATGCGAAAGTTGCAAGCAAAACAAAGACGCAGAAAATTGAAAAAGCCTGCAGTCAGCCCCCTCCGAACCACACATTGAAACAAGTTAAACAGCATAGAAACGGAGAGCCGAAGATTAAATACCCTTGCGAATATATACTCTATATGCAGCAGTATATATATATGGTATCTAAACTCGGTATGTTGTTAATTCCAATATTTCAAACAGATCAAGCTATGCACAAACTCTTAGTTTGTATCACGTTTTCTCCACCGAACTTTCTCTCCTTTCGGGAACCTTTATACCTTGGATACCTTCGGGAACTCACCGACCATTCCCAGCTATAAGTAGGTGCATAGTTTGACGAACAGGCTAATAAATTCCTTCGCATCACTATCTCTCTACCCTATCTACTTAATACTCTATATACTAGTATACATTTCTTTACTTTCTTAATATCTAAGTATAGTGAATATTTCAAATTTATTAAAACATTTAAAAACCTTTTCATCTATTGGGAAAGAGATATGCAAAGTTGTTGGACAAACAAAAATATGATGATGCAAAGGAAAGCTCATTTTATGATCGTTTGTTCCAATTGGATATGAAGTATTAGGACTCGCAATGACTGTGAAGTATTGGAGTTTGCATAAGATATCTTGAAAACAAAAATACTTTCTTAGTATTAACTCAGTTTTCAATGGGGTTTTTCTATAAAAGCAGCTAAATGATATTGCAGACAAATCCGGATCTATGACAAGTTTTACCATATCGAATCGGCATATCTAGTTAGAGGGAAGGGTATAAGCTCCCTAAGAGTGCCCGACTTGCCACAAATCATGTAGTAGTTGGATACCCTGTGTTCACTTGTAACTCGAATTCAATTTAGGTTTATGTTGTGAAAATATTGCCATGGTCCGTCCGTTGTGCCGCGACAGTTGCTTGGAATTGCCTACTCAACTCCTTGGGCCCTGCAGGCACGCAGTTGTCGTTTTTCATTCGCATAGGCGCTGCAAATAGCTTTGGAAATGGCATTTTAAAAATTTAATTGCCAATGCTGGCAGCAAGGCCAAGGGGCAGTACGTGGGGGCAGTAGGAGCTGGGGCGCAGTTGCTCAACCGCTTGTGTGTCTGTCTGTCCAGGGCAAGTTGCAAGTCAGCTCCGGGGTTTTCTGTGTCATGTTTGTCAAATTGAGTAAAGTCCTTTTCCTGCTCGTTGTTGATATTCATGTCCTGTGCCAGTCCCCGTCCCAGTCAAAGCCATTCCATTCGCTACAACTAACGTTGCTGCCTCGGGCTGCAACGCTTGGAATCTGACGGCAAGTCCATCAAATGACTTGCGTGTTCACGAAGCGACCCCGGAACCGCCCAACCGGAAAATTCTTAGTAGAAAAACAATTTTTCTCCAGCGACATACTAAATGTAATAATGTTTTAAATCGAATCTTAGAATTCCGGGAAAAGCTATCAGCATCAAAAAAATCGAAGAAAAAATCACAATTTCTCCTTGTCATCAAGGAAAATATATTTATAGTCAATATATAACATGTTATTTTAACGTGTTGACAGCTAGGCTAAACTCTCAATATAAAATCAAAATTCAAGGAATAAATCGCCATGTAACGTATAATAACAGCTTGTGCGATTAAAAAAAAAACCTATTAAAGACGTCAAAAGCTCGAAGTCTCATATTTGATGTATTTTGAATCATATTAATACTGAATACATTAGTTGTTGGTGTCTTTATTCCTATTGAAATGTAAAAGCACATTAATTTGTTTTCCGTTAGGAAGGAGAGATACCCACACTTCAATGATAAGAGTCGCTACATTATTCCCGAACTTTTTAAAATTAGGCATGCAAATCGGGTCTTAACCAAAACGCCATAGGAAAATAGCCCAGAAATTGCTTTGGTTCAAAAGAAACAACTTTTTAGACAATATTTAAGATTTAAGATAAAATTTAGCACGCATTTAGTATTAATTAGTATTTAGTAATCGTTACAATGGGCAATTATAAATTCGAATTTTTAATAGAATTTTTATTTCTTTCATTTAAATTTTGAAAATGTAGCCACAATCTGGGTTCGACGATTAAGTAAAAACCTGCCCAAAGGCTGGGAGCTGGTTCTAATCATGAAATAGCTCACGCGCCGTTTTTAAGGACAATCAATTTATTTTTTTCAAAAGTTCTCTTTAAACAATCTTAGGCAGATTTGAAGTTATTGTTTATTTGCAAGATTCCAAGTTTACAACAATTATTATAGGCAAAACAATATGATTAGATTGCAGACATGCTTGAAATCAGAATAGGATAAACAAGGGACTTGGGTCTCGGGTATGCCTTTTATGGGCCAAACATAATATGCAAATGTCTGTTGGGAATGGAGCAGAAGGGGGTTGGGTTCTTGGCCTGTTGACGGGCCTGCCCCTCAAAGCATGTGCGTGCAAAATCTACGCGCACAAAATTTATTAACAAAGGCCCCCCCGAGGTGCGGTTGAGTGTAAGGGGCAGAGGGCGGGAGTGTGAGCGAGATCAGGTCTCGCACCTATTGGGCGTTATAGAGACAACATGCAGGAGGCGTTTCGGCACCCTCGAGCCCTCGGGACGGACGCAGTGCGGCTGTCAAGCACGGCCCGTCCCCTGCCTGCTCCGGTTAATGGAATCTTGTGTGTGTATGTGTGTGTGTGTGTTTGTGTGTGTGGACCCCGAGGAGTCGTGTAATTTGTGTCACGTTTTAATTTTTCACGCCGCAAAGGGCGCTCGGCAGAATATGGTAACTAACACATACATATGCATTTATATGCGTGCTCCTGTTTATGCAGGACCTCCGCTCGCCGTGATTATGACAATTAAGATTGTGTACAGCCCATGTTTAGTTACTGTTTTTTTTTTTCTTTTTCTAAACTCAAAAGAGTTTATTGTTGAGCTGTATTTAAATACTTGTTTCGTGTTTCCGTGCAATTATTTTTGTACTTTTCCCTAGACTTTCGAGCAGCGTTTATGTTATTCTCTGAGTTGAGAGCAGGGCAGCTTAACGTGTGTTTTCAAAGGGATTTCCGCTTAAAACTGAGCTGCCGAATAATCTTTTTGAAGATAATTATGGGTGCTAAAAAAGAAAGATTTTAGCGTTTAACACGATTTTATATTTGCTTTCTTGCAAAGGAATTTGAAAGCCATTTTAAAATGAAGGGTACATATTTAGAGAACTTATACACATTTTTAAAAAAAAGTATGCTAGCTTATTAGGCAATTTTAACTATTAATTGAAAAAACAAACCATTACAGGAGCTGCTAAAATATTGTCAGGAACCATTAGTATATATATTCTGGCCTGTCTTTCAGCTGAAACATTTTCTCAAACCTCTTACTTATATAGCTAGGCATTAGTCCTGGCATCGAGTATATATGTATTCAAGACAAGTGCCACATACAGATTGCAATGTTTTTTTTTTGAAAGACCAGCTAAAAAGCAGTTCGTTTGCCTGACTGGCCACAAAAGATGACAAAATATGTCAGGGCAGCGTTTTAGCCATTTGAAATGCTTTTCACACCGCACTCCGAAGACCTCCGCAGTCCGAATTCTGTCAACTGGCAGCTGAAAGTCCTTAAGAGAAACTACAGCATAAACTAAACAGACAAAAGTGACCGCAGGCAACGTTGGTTCTGCTCTCACACACTCTCTCTCTCTCTCTGTCTATCTCAATCTTCTTCTTTTTGTCAATTGAACAAAGCTCAGGCGATATTTTGAAGAGGTAGAAAAATATTGTAACTACAAATTGTATCTTTTATTTACTTAAGTTAAAGGTATTTAGTGGAATACTAAAAATAAATCATATATGCATGATTGTTAAATTTTGATAGCTCTTAAGAATTTTTAGAATATTTAGGTATTTCTTTGATATTCCTTTTTATTTATTCTATAGTTTATATATATATATCAGTCATAACACGTGTCTGGAGGATTATTCCTTAACAACTATTGAGGACTTATAATTCCATGTAGTATATTTATATTTTTATATTGAAAATTCAGATTAGTTGACAAAACTTAAAAACTAAATAGTTCGATTAGCAAATAAACGTTTTCTCATACATTTAAATCATCGAAATTTTTTAACAGTGTCATTTAAAATTAGAGACCCACCTAAATAGACTTTTCAATAATCTTTGAGTTGGGCATTTGTGCGATGCAGTTTTATAATTAGCTTCTCTCAAATCCCTAAAACAGTTCTCCCTCCTCTACTGCCTGCACCCCTCCAACCCCTCCACTTAACAGTTCATTTTTCTACGACCTGCCACCCAATTAGCAGCTGCTTAGCTAATTTCAAGGCGAGCGCCAACTGT